ATTTGTAGTATTAGTTAGGTTAAGATCCATCATAACCAAATTGGGCTCCACCATGAATTTAGAAACCAGCAATTTTCTTTTCTTTTGAGGTTTCATCGCCTCCTTCTTGACCATGTTGAAGCTGATACCTGACAGTCATATATGCTGCTTTATCGGAGAGGCCAATTTGATTCAAGCTGAAGTGACCACTGAACTGACGACACCACTTTCTTTTTGAAAGTTAAGTTTGGGCTTAATGAATTCCTAAGGCTCAGGGTTATCATATTTCCATGTGACTCTCGGAAGATATACCAAGTAGTTGAGATGGGATGGAGTTTGCATAAAGAGATAATTCTATTAAATTCTTAAGAAATTATTCTAACAGATATTAAATCTTTATTTTAGTCTTAAAATAATACATGTTAATTACTTCAATTAATTATTCTACGACATTTACTTTAATATTTAATTTGATAAAATATTGTTCATTTTTTTGCCGTTATTATAAAATTAAGATTAAAGTGATTATGGCTTATAGTTTCTAAAATGAATATTGAAGTTTACTCTTTTGGAAGGCTCTTTACGTCCCATTTTAAGTTTAATGAGATTTAAAGCTCTAAGGCCAAGAAGCCTCAGGTTTAGATATTCTCACGAGTGGGTGAGGCTATTTGATCCGATGGATGAGTTCATCATTTTTTAAGCAATGGGGTTATAACAAGTTCATACTCTTGGGTTTGAAGAACAATGTGACACAAAATGATGTCAACATCGGAGCCTAAAACTAAGAGCAACCATCTATTATGGATGACCCATCTGTCAAATTTGTCCTAGTGGCCCCTCCACGTTCATCAAGTTGATGATCCCTAATGGCATTCTTAAGGCTAAGGATGTATTTACCTTTTATTTGTGCATGTACTATATATGTAATGTGGAGGAGATAGAGAAGAGTTCATAAGGGGAATTAAAAAGAACAAAGGATATTGTAAAAACTAAAAAAGTATAGCACATTGCACAAACGCTCATCTTCCAAAGTTTTCAAATCATGCTTAGGAATGGACAAAGATACTGAGGCAGGGATGATGCTACTTTCTCTCTTTTGAAAACTTTTTTTTCTTTCTAATGGATATTTTTAATATGATTTAACTTTTGAGGGGGCTAAAATGAGCAAGTTATCTGAAGAGATTCCGACAATATGACTTGACTAGTGTATTATGGGTGATTTATGGACAAGAGCCATTTAATATTGTAGTGCATGTCTCATCCCTTGGATGGGCGACATATGTGTTGGGAGGATTATTCGTGCATTGTTATGCACCATGGATTTAAGCTAAAAGCAAATATGATACTCTAAGAAAGCTTCCTATGTCCTAATGACGTGTTCTCTCTCCATTTGAACATTTTACATGGCTGTCTATGCTTCAAAGGGAAAAATCAAATCTAAAACCAAGTCTTTTAAAACTTTTTAAACCAAATAAAGGCACATTAATTCGTGATTACAACTCACTCCAAACAATCACTTGGTTGTGACTTGTGATTTAAATTGGGAATTAACATGTTCCTGACCAGATTATCGAATGGGCCCAAACTCATATCATAATAATCTCAAGTGGTCCACCTTTTAGAAAATCATGTTGAATATTGGGAGTGTTTAAGAATTAATGCAAACCGTTGACAAATAAAAAAAATTAATGCAAACTGTCCTAAATTGTTAAAGTGATTCAAAATAATGATAAAATCAATAAATTATTAATTGAAAAAAACTAAAAATTAATAATGCCTTTTTTTATTCAGTTTGATATACTTTTTGATTTTCATGTCCAAAACTAAATTGATCTAAGCTAAACTATAAAACATACCAAATTTATATTAGTTTTTCTACTTCATCTTCAAATAAATTTTAATCGAAAAGTTATTGTAATGTTCAATTTATTAATTATGAGCATGTATTTATATATTTAAAACAAACCTGAAATTATTTTGACTTATAATTTATAATTTAGATCAAGTTATGATTTATGATAAAATTTAATATTTTGAACAATTTTTATTTTTATTGTGTATTTGATTTTTATTAAGTAACTATCATCCTTAATCACTAAATGAATTCATATATTGGTTTAAGAATCTACACTGTTTATACTTAATTAAATTTCAATTGTTAATTTCCTCACCAAAAATAAAGTGTTATTCCTTAAAAGTAAACTTTACAAAATCAAGGTAAAAATTAAAATTACTGATTATATCCAAATTGCTAAAGAATAGATTAGATTGATGCAAATTTGATATTATTTTTAAATAAATTCAAACGAAACCACGAATATATTCTTATTTAACACAAGGTACATGCAAGATCTCATGATCCTAAGGTCATTAAGTGCTTGTGTCAACGCTGGCCCCTATCTTGCAAACAACAGCAACAGTAAGGCACACTCATATAATAGATACTTACCCAACAATTTCAGGTATGTACTCATTCTATGATACTCTCAACATCAGCTAGTACATACGTTACCTTAAGTGTCGAAATATCTTTTCAGGTACTCTCACACCTCAAGGAAGCTCAAAGGCCCTTGACCAGAACCTTTAGTTTGACCCTTGCCATTAAGCTCATGAATCATAACCTTGTAAAAATCCAGCTTGTACATAACCCGTATGCACAATTTTGACCTTCCGGCAATGAAATTTATTCCCTTAATTTCGTTAGCAAGTATATATATATATATATAGATATACCTTCAACGGCTTAAAATAATGTTTTGATGAGCAATCGCTTTTCTAATATATATGTTTTCATTTTCCTTAAGAAAACCTAGTTTTCCAATCACGTTGAAACCCCAGTTGTGTGGCAATGATTAATTTTCAATGCAGCAAAACTCCGTATCAAAAATATTAACGTGTGAATAATCAGGCCTAATTAAAATAAATGTAATTTATTCGTTGAATGAGTTGAACTTTAAATAATTTCAACTTGTTTACTCACTGTCGACTCAATGGATATATAGATATTTTTTAAAGAATAGAAAAATTATTTATAATAATACATGTTCGTATTTTATTTTATTTTTTGTTTCACTATATTTTTTTTTTTCTAAACCATAAGTATTAATTAGAGATTTTTGATAGGGTTAAAACAATCTGGTGTCAAGTGATTTACATGCTTGGTTGGTTAATATAGTACTTCATATTATTTTGCAATATGTTGTTAAAATACGTGTAAAGTCCAAATTATAATTTTATGAAAAGATCATATAAATTTCTTACTAAATGAATAAAATGGTTATAATGCTTAAGACTTGTTTGTTTTACCAATAAGTATAATTAATGTTGATAGAAGTAATTTTGAACTGTTAAACATAATTGACATGTGTCAAAATTAATATTAATCATTAATTTTATTGAAACATGTAGTTTTTAGTAAAAACAAATGTGAGATTAATTTCTTAACTATAAATCAAACAGACACTTGGCATTTTGCATTTCTAGACAACACCGTTTGTGCTTGCACACATAGATGTGCAATGTTATTACACAGTACACTATATATAAAACTCTCCAAAAACATGAGTCGTTTGCATTGCACATGAAAATTCATCCAACTTTCTTCTAAAGTTGTCACTGACATGGTCCATAACTTTAAAAATGAGAAACGGGTTCACTAGGGAATAGGTGAAGATCAATCCTGGAAATAGTGCTTGGAAAGAATGCGGGACTAATAATTTAATTTGAGATAAGATAATTGCACAGTGATGGAGCTTAATCCAGTGGTATAGCACAGGACAGCATTGTTTAGTGGTTGACCTCGTGCTTAGATCAGCTATGAAATGTGCTTAACAGACAAAAGTTGTGAAAACCCAAAACCCCTTTACAGGCTTCACCGACCTTCCTAAAATTTCCCTCCCCCACCAAGGCACCAACACCACCCACTGCCATTGCCAACTAGTTGTTGGCTTCCTTGTTTGTTATTTTGTACGTTAGATTCTGAATTCTTTCTCTCCACCATTATTTTATCAACCATGATATCATTATTGATAAATGCATGATTATATAATATCTTAATGTGCACAAAGTCATTAATGTATCCCAACCTCAGTACCGTACACGTGGCCCACATACCCAAATGATCAGGTGGTGGGCCACACCCCAGATGGGTCTTCACCAACCAGCCCATAGAATCAACCTTTTAGAACTGCAACTCAATATAATTATTATAAGATATTTCCAGAGTGTATTTGTGCTCACAAAACAGTATAATGCATGTGAAAACCTGATCGGGTTCGGGATGTGTGTTGATACTTGTTCATTCAGGACCATGCAATTTGACGAAAATTTATTTATTTTAAAAAGGGATGGACTTGGTCTTAGGTGTGGGCAGTAGGTAAGATATGACCATCAAAATGACCATCATTCAAACAAATCCGACGATTATAATTGAAACCATTGTGGCAGTGGAAGAGAATCAATCTACTTGTGGAAGGTCATTATCAAATTGTTTTCTCTTATTTTGTTTTGCTATTTTTCCAAGGGGACAGTGATGGCTACTTGTAAAGAAGAACGAAAGGCAAACAGAAAAAAGATATGGTTAAAAGGCAAAGACAGCTATTGTATGGTAATGACCACCCCAGGGACTATTGCCACCATGAGCAATATGGATAAGCCCAGCCAAGTAATGAGAACCGAGTGTTCCTTTATTTGTTTCCGTTCAGTGTTCCCGGCACAAGGCTCTTATCCTCTCACCAAAGCAATCTGATTCACGATACATGATGAGGGTGAGGGACACGGAAAGAGAAGGGGAAATGACCAATTGTAAGGGGGCCAGTGGCAAGGAGAGAGCATTGGCCTCACTCCACTTGCTTCAGCAGCAAATGGATAGACAAAAAAGAAAGCCAAAGCTTTGCTTCCCATCACTTATTTGCACAGTCAGATCCCACTTTGATGTTAAGTTTACTTTTACCATTTTGCCTCATGCCAGATTGAATACCAATAAGGCAGGGAGGGAGATAGATTTCTCAACTAATAATGAGAGAGAGAATGAGATAGTCCGTTAGTGGACTTGCCCGCTTTATAACGCAAACGCAGGAGGGGAGACCGGTCATCAAATTATTGGTCCCCTCACACCCTATGAAAATTGGAACCCATATATTTACAAATATACACATCAGCCTAATAATACAATATCTATATTCAAAGCATGAGGAACTTATTCAGACTGCGCCTAATAAATTCTAGTTTTTTCCCTCTATATAAACATATAGGCATGTGTGAGGTTACTGAGAACTGGAAGAGCCCGCAAGCTCCTCGCAAAGATCTGATGGATGATCAGGATCATCAAACACCCCCTTTTCTTTTTCTGTTAAAAGGGATCCTCAAGCATGTCAATGGAACCCCACGAGAAGAAAGGGGGTCCTGCAACGTGTACTTGAATGACACTTTCCATACATAATTAATAGGTCTCACTGTCGATCATTCCACATTCCGAAAACGAAAGATTTAGAGACTATATATGGTCCATGCATATTCTGGCATTTATTAACCGTCTCACAATTGCTAACAATAACAATAAATTTCAACAGTCAGGTGCTACATCAACACATCCGCGAGAGAAGTAAAACACATTTGAGATTAGGGAGAAAGAGATAGGTATATATCAGACCCTGGGGTTTGGATTCTGGCCACCTAAAGCTTGAACTAACTATCATTTGAATCCAAATAAAGAGACTAAGTTCCTTACAAAGTGAATACATAGTTTGCTTCTCTACTGATATGGTATGATGGATAAGTTAGAGAACATCACCTCTCCAAATCTTCTTCTGTTTCGATCCTTCCAAATCTGCTCTCAATGTACCATCTATTTGACCAAGGAAATGAAATAATGCTCTTATTAGTCAATCCTCAGAGTCGCTTCAGCAGTCTCTCCTCCCCCCTCCTCAGGCAGTTTTCCGTTATGATAAAATGAATATAAAAGGGAAAAAAAATACATAAACTTAAAACTGTGACAGTACAACAACATTGAATGGCCCAATGCCTGCAGAACTTCATATTAGAATCATTCTTCCTCTACCCTTTCCTATTATTCTACTCCTCCCAATCCTTAGTCCTCTAACATAAACAAAGGCGAACAGAGAAATGTAAACCCCCATCCCCTCAATAGGATCTTTGTGGCCTGCCATCACAGTAGCACGCACCAAGAACAGGAGTTGTATGCTTAACTTTGTTTGCCTGGATAGTAGAGAAATGTCCTGGCAGGTTTATTTAAAACTCCCTGCTCTATCATATTTCACCCAACAGCCACCATTGGAAAGTGCTAAAATCTTCTTGAATTAAAAATATCTAATGCAAGATAGTAACAACTCTTGGAGCATCATCCCGTGGCCCATCAAGAGACCGATACATGTACAATATCTCAATATCATCCTTTGCATCTTCCTCACTGTTGATCACTTCCAAAACCAGGTGGGGCAACGCTTGTGCAACTTCTTGGCAAGCTTGGCGCGTCAACTTACAGGTTGACATCCATAGGAATCTCATGTTGTAATAATGATGCAGACCAGATCGCAGAGCTCCATCACCAAATGGGCTATCCCTGATTTCAAGCTTTTGCAAATTAGGGCATCCTTCAAGCACATATTTGAGACCAAGGTCAGTGTCTCCGGCAAAGGCAACCGACAGTGTCCTAACCAATTTCCCATACGTCCCAATGTACTCAAAAGCTCGATCAGTCAGCAAACCAGACACAGCAAGCCGGGTGAGCTTCTTGCAGTTCATAACAATAGCACCAAAACCCTCATCCATGGGTTGGAAAGTCACAGGATCTGGCCGATACTGCCCAATTATACAGAGACGGAACACCACAAGATCTGGGCAGTTCTTCGACATGGCCACCACAGCAGCATTCGTCATCGTCTGGCAGAAAAACAATATTGATTCCAACTTCCTGCAACCCTCAGAAATCGCTTGAAACCCCACCTCAGAAACTGGACCCTCGGTCTCCTCCCTCGTGTTCACAGGGAAAACCCGAAGCTCACGCAAGTCTTTGCAAGTAGCAGCCACAGCCTGAAGTCCCTCATCACATATCGAATCAAGCACCTGCAAAACAAAACCAAAATACAAATAAGCTCCAAATCAAAATTCAAATTCCTTCCTCAACAATGTAGCCACAACACATACCCAGAATATCTGCAGCTTATGACAATGACGTATGACAGACCTCAGCTGCTGTGCGTTAACATCAGCATAGCTCAAATTCAACGACGTTAGGTTTGCACAGACCGGATAAATCACCGGAAGATAATCTGCCAAAATCTCCCTGAATCCAGACAAGCAAACCAAGGATCTGCAAGCCTCAAAAGCGGCGGCATAATCCGGCTCCTGATCACCGCCAATCACCACAGGCTCAGAGGCACTGAAGGAACCTGTTCCAAGGTGAGTGAGCTGCGGAGCTCGAAGCAATAATCGATAGAGCTGAGACATGGAAACAAAACGGTTCAACCGAAGCTTCTTCAAACAAGGTGACCTAGCCACTAACCCTTCCAAAGCCTCAAAATTAATCGGACACTCAACACAATCAAAAACCAGAGACTCCATATTAGTTTGACTCTCCGGAAAACACGATATCCAATCTATTTCTTCATCATCGTCAGATACCTCCACCACAGATTCCACAAGTTCAAGCACCCTCAGCAATCTAATCACAACGCAACACAGCAATGCTCAAAATTAGAAACTATTTTTTTAAAATTGTTCATCGTTAATCGTGATTTGCGAGATCTAATTAAATAAAGTAGGGAATGAAACCTGCACTTGGCGGCGACGGTGGCGAGGCCGCGAGTGCCGAAGCCTTCGCAGCAAACGAGAACGAGTTCGCGAAAGGAGGCGAAGGAATCGGCGACGAGAGCGAGGTCGCGGTCGGTGACGGACATGCGTTTGAGGTGGAGCTTCTCGAGCCAGGGGTAGGCTTGGGCCAGGGCCGAGGCCCAAGGGAAGAAGTGGGCCCCCCAATCAGGCGGCAGCAGATCGAAGTCCGCAAACCGTGGCTTCCCCTTTACAGTTACGGACCGGACGCGAGTGAACCGGGCCGTGGCCCGGTTCGGTGAGAGCGCGTAGCAGTTCCCTATGAAGAGTTCGGATCGGGTGAGGGCCTCAGCACGGTACCAGGAGCGGCACACCAATGAGGCCGCGTTGCGGTCGCGGCGAGAGGAGAGGAAGTGGAGTACGTTTTCCAGAACGTTCTCGAGGACTTGGTCCGGGAACGGGGCCTGAGACTCGGAAGGACCCGACCCGGAACCCGAACCTGGACCCTGGAGGCCCGAGCAGGTTCGGGTCTTGGAGGAGGAGGATTCGGTGATCTCGGCCCGAGCCAGATCCAGAAGCGACGATCGGTGGTCGTCCTCCGAGGTTGTTGATGGTTGGTTCTCTCTCATTTCTTCGATGCCGTCGCTATTGTCTCTTTTTTTTTCTTTTTTTTGGTCTGGGGACTGTGGCTTTGCGTTCAAAAAAATGGAATCTTTGATTGGTTCATGGAGTTTGGGGAGCTACAAGATTTGTGGGGTTCAATTGGTTTGATGGAAAATAAGAGTGAGAAAAAGAAAATTAGGAGAGTGGTAGAGAGTGTGGAAGATGATATGATATGGAAGATGAGGAAAAGTGAGAGTGAAAGAGAGTGAGAGGGAGAGTGTGTGTGTGTGTGAGAGAGAGAGTGGGGATTTTTTAGTTTAATTGGTCACAAAACAGGGCCAGGGAGTGACAACAGTAACCTCTGCTGTCTGTGTCTCTGAGCTTTAGCATTGGGATTCTCCATGCTCCCTCTCTCTCTCTCTCATCACAAATATCCAAATGTGTCTCCCTCTCTCTCTCTCTCTCTCTCTCTCTCTCTCTCTCTCTCTCTCTCTTTTCTTTCGCCCTTCTTCTCCTTCATTATTTGGGAGATTTTGATTTTGATTTTCACTTTCAATTTCTTTTCCCTTTCCTTTGCAAGCTTTTGTACTTTTTTTCTTTTTCTTCTTTTGATAGTAATTTCTCGGCTTATTACAGTTTTCCCATTCAGGCGAGGTTTATGGAAATGCCCCCATCATTTTGAATTATTTATGAAAAGGGTAGTTTTCTTCCCCAAACTTTCGAAAGCTTAAAAAATGGAACTATCAGTGTCAAGGTATATCCTTAACTTTCGCAATAGCAGGTATACACTCCTGGTCATAATTTCTACGAATATCTAATGCTTTTCCTTCAATATAAAATCAATATCGTGCTCATAATTCTCAGCAATAAAAAACAAATCATAATTGCATATGCGCAAAATGCTTTACACCAACTCAGATTTTGAACAAACTCACTCTTAGCAACTCGCATTATATAATTATAGACTGCGAACGACTTTTCGAATTGACTGGACCACCACTTTCAAAGTTTATCATCAATTGGCGTTGCGTTAGTCAAGTTTATATAGGTCCTAGACTAGTCAAGACTTGGTTTTCTTTATTTATATTTCAAATAAAGGTGAGTCTTTTTACTTGCAGTCACACTAGGATTAAATTACGTAATAGTTTAACGTTATATCGTAATTACTTCTTTTATGTAGATAGAAAAAAAAGATAAAATCAAGAATTAATAGATTAAAAAAATCGGAGTATTTGCTATTAAAACATGAAAAAACAAATCAAATTTAACTAATTGAAATAATTAAGAAGAAAATTATTGAGAAATCACTTAGGATTACTTAAGCCAATGATGAACTCAATTGTTAGATAGAGGTTGATCATGAAATAATTTAATTTCGTAGATAAAAAACTATTAAGAAGATTTAAAATTAAATATTAAAAATGCTTTCAACAGAAGACAATAATATGGTTTGTAATTAAAAGAAAATGGAAGAAAGCAAACAAATAAAGTAAGCCAACCATGTACCCTGCACCGAAGTACGTGAGACTTAGATTAAACAATATTTAAATCTATACCATAAAGTTGCGTGTATCACTGTATTGCAGGGAAAAGTTGATAAGAAAAATAAATTGTGTACATTTGGCGACATGCATAAAAGGATTAACTTAATTTTAAATAATTCTTTGCTGATGGACATCCACTCGCTTTCCAAGATAATTACAAGTTAATTAAATAATCATTTGCTAAATAATTTATCAGATAAGGATTTTTTTAAAACTAATAAATAAGGTTACTTATGAAAAAAAAAATTTAGTTTTTGTTACATATTATCAATTACCACATACAGAATATTAAAATGAAAATATTAAGATTAAAAAATAAAGATTAATATGAATTTTAAGAATTATATAAATAATTTAAAGTAAAATAAAAGAAAATAGAACGCAAAAGATATTAGTATAAAATTATGATGAATAAGATAAAAGAATTGAATAAAATATAACTCTAAAAATAAGGTTTTATTATATTCGATGTTTAATGTAAATTTGATAAAAAAAAAATAATATGATATAAATATGTAAAACTCTCATGTATCTCAAGGCGAATGTAATGAAGAACGTAATAAATTCACTATTCTTAGAGGGATACAAGATGCACATGCCAATTTAGTGTCTAGTATCAAAGTATCCTTCATCAGTCATAGGATGGATTTTACAAAGTAGCTTAACTTGATTCTGTCCCAATTGAGCAAACATTAATTAGTATATATTTGTAGGCATTTTGCAAAGCCCCTTAAAAACCGAGACAAATATGTGCAGTTATACGTTTTGTGACAATTAAAGCATACTAAAGATGTTATTCCAAAGTCTTGCTTCCATCATGACCAAAGCTTAAGTGATCTTCTCAACAAAAATATCTTTAATATATTCCTACTTTATCATCACCTTCCATCTTCTCCCCGTTTCTATCTTCACGAAAACTTCAGAGAGATAAGCAAAAGAAATTGGTTTGGAGAGAGAGGGATTAAATAGAGTAAATAGTTATTCCCAAACAAACATTCTTTTTCCTCTTTTTTTGGAACTAGCTGAGAGTCACTTCTTCTTAACAAATCAAATTATCTTTTTATTTTATTTCTTTCCTACTATTTCGTGAAAGTTTGGAAGAACAACTAAATGAATTAGGAACTAAAACAAGGGCAATTGGAAGAATAATAGGCAGATAATGGGGAAACACTCTTACTATATAAACCGAAATAGGGGATTTGGGTCTATATTGAATTTAAGTCCTTAATCCCTGTAGAGTCATCTGTTTATCTGGCCAGTTTTACTGTGCCCGTTGCATTTATGATGATATTGTAAATATCAGAGACAACCATAGATCCAACAGCTCAAGATCTTTATACTCATGACTATTTTGGATGTGATTCTGCATACATTTCACTTCAATCCTTTGACTACATATGAGAAATATTATGAATAACTATTTTTATCAAACTCATTTTTTTATATGGATGTTTATATATAATTCATCATGCATGTTGTTTGATACACTTAACTTTGAGAATTTTTCTTTTACTTATTCAATAACTATTTCTGTCGAACAAACAAAAAAAGTTAGATATTGATTGAATAACACTACTCAATCCAAGGAAGGATTATATAAATGTTTATTTGAAAGGTGTTAAATTATTCGTATTCTTTTATCTTAAGTTTTAACAACTTCTTTGAAAAAAAAAATTCAATAATATTTTTGATAAATAGGATTTTACAATTGTTATTATTATGTTTGTTGCTACTATTATTATTTTTCTTTAAACCTCTTTTAATTTTTTTTTTTTATAAATAATAGAGTCAACAAAATTAGCTTACCCAAAGGAGAGTTGGTTTTAAATCCAAATTAGATTTACAATTTTTTAGCTTAGTCTGCTAAAATTCACTCCCTATGTTGAGCCAGCGCAAATGGATTAAGTAGTTTATTTTGACAACTCTAGTCATGAGTCTAAGTCCATTCACATCTAAAGAAAACTTGATAAAAGGAGCACAAAATCATGGAATAAATGAGAGAAAAAAAAACTTATGACATAGACTCAAACTTGGAATACTAACTCAAATTAAAAAGCTAAATACATGTTATAATGAAGTGTAAAAGAGTCATGGGTCTAAATTGTATAATCTATAAACAAACAAATTACCCAAGTTTAATCTCACTTTCTCTCACACTCTTAAAATTCACTTATACTCAAGTTTTAATAATTAAAACATGTAAAAACATTTAAATTTTATATTTTCACTAAAATTTCTTCTGAGTACTCAAAATGTTTTAATACATAGAATCCTTTTAATCTTGTTGTGAACTTCAAACATTTTTTTAGAAGTTATTTGTACACAGTTCTTTTAGTATTGTACTATTCAGTTTTTTTATATATATATAAAGTTGGTGTGGTGCATGTTATCTAAGTGTAGCTTTCCAAGTCTTAAAAGACTTCATAATTATAACTTATCTATGGCCATTAATGATGTGAGTATTGTCTTATGCTCAAACTTAAATGTTCCTAAAAAAGGTTAATAGTACAATTCTTATTTAAGTTAAACGATTCCTTTTATCAAAAACTTAATTCCTCTTGATTAAAAGGCCCGATATCTTCAAAATTAGTGAATCATTATAGGGCTTATCTTAACAATACACATTTACCATCCTTCAACAGTTTAATTTGTTATTATATTGTTGTCATCAACTTGATCATGTCCTCTGCTTAGTTTGGCATGGAACAACAAATTTCTTACCTTCCCTTTCAACCCGAATACTTTTATTATGACATTATTGCTTTACCAGGGTAAGAATTAACATAGATACTAAAAGTAAAATAGAAAAACTAAAGGTGAGATTTTTGTAATTATTTGTAAAAGCAAAAAATGAAAAAAAAAATTTAAAAATCTGAATAAACTTTGCGAAATAAAATAAATCAAAACAAAAATCTTTAAAATTAAAACCAATCTTCTTATGCAAATCTGTTCTTGTTTAAATAAACCTTGATCCAACTAGACATTCGTATTTATTAATCAAATCAATTAATAGTATTAGTGATTCCAAATATATACAAAGGATATATTTTTGAGAAATTTAGAGGAAATAAAATGATGAACATTTAATTTTTATTGTTGAAAATATCTAAAATGAAGAAAATGAAATGAAATATTATCATATATTTCTCATTATTTTTATTCAATTTTTTTATTTTTAAAATTTAAAAATAAAATATTAACCCTCAATTTTTTTTCTCAAACTACTCCATCCAACTAATAGATAGCTGATTCAAATGGTACATTCTTCATTTTTATTAAACAAAGTCTCACGTTTAAATTGTGTATAATTTTTCTTTTTTCTACGCTAAATCTATTAACTATAAAAGTTTACAAGTAAAAAATACTTGTACTTTGGAGTAATGAAAACTTGTCCATTCACCTGTATCTTTCAAAATTTTCAAAAATGGTGAGATAAAGCGTGGTGTTGTTATAACCCTCCTCATAATTTTTTATTCATTTTTTAAGATTATATGGTTTAAATTTAAAAATAAATGTTTTAACATTCCTTTTCTTTTCCTTTGATTTATATGGATGGATAAGTTTGTAAAAATCTTTATTCCATATCGGGACACGTTTAAAATGTTTAGAAATAATAATAATAATAACTTTTGAATGTTACGTGATATTTTTGTTTTCATTATTCTCATTTAAAAAATTATTACATTTGAGAAATGCTTACTTTAAGTAAACAATTAACTATTCCTTTGCTATCCATTCAACCTTTTCCATCTAAATATCTTTCACTTAACCCACTTCTTGTGGCCGGTTTTTCTCAATCTAAAATATATTCACACTTAAAATTATCAATATCAGCGAGCTTATTACAACTGTAAATAGAGTTCATGTATCTTACCCTTACTGTTTGTTATATTAAATTGTGAAAATTAAACTAATTTAATCTATTATTATTATTATTGTTGTTGTTGTATAAAATAAGTTTTACTATTGAATGATTTAGATAAATGTAATTTAAATATAATCTATTCAT